CGTACGTACTACGTACTACGTACGTACGTACGTACGTACGTACTACGTACGTACGTACGTACGTACGTACTACGTACTACGTACGTACTACGTATTACGTACTACTACTACTACACACTACACACTACACACACACACACACACACACACACACACACACACACACACACACACACACACACACACACACACACACACACACACACACACACACACACACACACACTCAAACACATTGCGGCTCCACTCTCATCCCATCCGTTCTGCTGGGTGTTTGGCTCCTCTGTTGTTGCAGAGTCTTTCGAGGGGTCGCAGCAGTTCTTCCTCTCGGGGTCTGTACGGCACAATGTAGCTCTCCTCCTCCAGCAGGATGCGGTTCAGTGTCTCCTCGTGGTTGATGTGGCGGCGCACCATCAGTATGTACTGTTTTCCCTCCTCCAGGTGGGGGCAGTCACACACGTTAGGGACCCACAAGAACTCCCGGTGCTCCAGGCGGAAGCCGTTGCGGTAGGTGTGGAGGATCTGGACGTCATACCGCGTCTCCTGGCCTCGGTACAGCTTTCCGAGCACCCGGGCACGGAAAACTAACAGAGAAAATTCAATGAGATATTTAAATTCACATGTTAAAGTCATAATTCTTAATTTAAACTACAAGGTTCCAACTCACCAAAGTCCTTCTGGCAATACTGTCTTTGGCGTTCCCTTCTACCTTTAATTCGATGACATTTCCCACAATGTCCTGCGCAAAAAAGTAAGCATAAAAAATAAGGATCACAAACATAGGCCTGATAAAAAATAAGTATATATATTAAAATAAGTACTTCAACATCAAAAAAGACATGCTTGCTTGAGTTGTATGAAAAGACGTTTAATATAAACAAAGGCATTTTATGAAATATCTGAGTATCGTTTACACATTTATGGGATCATGCTTAGCTGGCCTGTTTGGTGAGTTGAGGCTCACGTTGGGAAAAGGTGAACATACTTCCTGGTGAAGGCTGAGGAAGGAGGTTTCTGTGGTTCTCCTCTCTCTCCAGGCGGGGCTGGTGGGGGGGCTGGCGACGGTTGTGGTGGGGAGATTGGCGAGGTGGCTTCAAATGTCTTGAAACTAGGAGACACATATCAAACAAACACAGTGTTACCATGACAAGTCTTCCCAGTGAGAGATTTTTTAAATAGTAGGTTACATTTTTTATAACACTTCTGACGTAAGCCACTTTTTAAGTATTACAAATGTGTGACAATGTCTCACCACTATATCCACAATAGAGTATTAACGGATAAAGACCTGAAACTCATAAATGAGGTACAAAGCCAATAGGTTAGTTAGATGCCTGAAATAAGATCTGTGGTAAACAAAACCCTAATAGACTTTCACGTTTTGCACTGGACATAAGATGGCTGGATGAGAGTTAAAACATTGTTGAAGACTTTGAAAAAAAATCATTCCTTCAAGCACAGGAAAATGTATCTACTCAGTCATGTGACCAGAGTGTAGTTTGTTTATAGCCCAAAGTTAGCTTCCTACTTCTGGCAATTGCTTTTAAGCCTCAAATTAATATTTTTTACCAGAGCCATGAATTGACATTGGTACCAACACTAACTCAAGACAGATTTTTGTCAAAAAGGAACTGCAGGCACAGTTTAGCTTAATATGCAGCACAACACATTGGGACATTTCTTTTTGCATAATGGTCTGATACTGATGAGCAGGAAGGAGACAGCAGGTTTCTCTCAAAATATGGGGGTCGATTTATTCAAATAAATAACATGCCAAACCATGCATTCTATCCTCATTATGTATTTTCCAAGAAACAAAACCATGACCAGACTAAGCAACAGAAAAGTTCACCTTGCTATCCAACAAACACACTTCTTCTGGCAACATCAAGAGTCAAAGTGTGTTTTGGAAGAATCCACCAGCAGGTAAATGTTTGCAGAAAGGCTCAAAGATTTATTGCAGTGATAGATAGATTCCGACAGAAGGCATGAGTTGGCTGTGTGAGGATTTCCATGTGAGTGAATATTTACAGAGAGATTCAGCACAAGTGTACAGCAGGTTTATCAAGAGAGATGAACCAGCCACATTCCTCAGCTGCTCAGCCTGTGTGGATAAACTCTTTTGAATCAAGTCTCGTAAAGATGGATTGTTTAAACCATTGTCGACCACACAGGTGTTTTCACTTATTGTTTCTTGCTTTCAGGACTTTGTAGGCTTGTAAATATTGTGATTGATTGACATTTCCCTCGTTCTCCTGTTAGTGTCTTGCACCTGTGAGCTTCCTCAATCATTTTTATTGGCGAACAAACGAAAACACCTGTGAGGGAGTGTAGGGATTTCAACATGATCAAGATAAGTGTATTTGAAACACAATCCGGCCTGAATTTTAATGCGTCCTCCAAATTTAGTTGAGTTATCACATACCAAACCCAAGTCAACTGAAACTCCATCAAGTTTTTGAGACAGCAAACAGTTACTTTTCTTTTTCAGCCTCAAACTTGACAGTAGAAGCATGAATGACAAGATCTCTATCAGATACTGTGCTCCTTCTGCATTATCTAAGTGTGTTTTTTACACTATCCAAAGGTCCAGTATTTTTATCCATCAGCATGACCTGATCATATTTTTCACAGTCATACATTTCACTGAGCCTGACTGATTGGACCCTGCTGTTTATTCTGGCATCATGGTGGCTATTTATGCAAACCCACACGCATGTAGACACAACGGCCCACATGGTAGTTTGATAAATTGATAACGTAATTATCTACCAGGCCTGTATCTGAGGGTTCTTGGACATGTAAATGAGTGGATAATGTATTGACTAAGATTTAAACTGTATTGATCTATACATTTGTTCAAGCAAGGGCAATTAAATGAAGCTAGCTGCAGGACTTACTCCAATGTGTTCGGGTGGTGACAGGGGAATCCCGGGTAGTGACAGGGGAAGCCCGGGTGGTGGTGGTAGTTGTGGTTGTGGTGATTGGTTGATCCCAGGGGAGGTAGTTGTCAGTGTGGTGAGCTTGGCGCAGTGGACTCCTCCTCCCATGGTGGAGGGCGTATTGACCTGGTGGGAGCCAGTACTCATATTCGATCCCCGGGTTTCTGTCTGTAGCCAGCACCTGCACAGAAGGACGGCACTGAAACTTATAGACTATTTTATTAGCTTAAAGAGCAGCTTACTTTGTCATACTTTTTACTACTACTACTATTTTGGCATCAAAGCAAGCCCTAGAAAAAAGACCAAGACCAAATCAAATATTTTGGTCTTGATCCTGATCCGAGTCCTCTAATATTTGGGATTTGTCAGCAACAAGTACGATCCGATACTTGTATTTGAATCTCAATTATTTTGTATGTGCTCCTCATAACCTTGGCATTGTAAGAGTTATTGTTTGGATTGCTAACCAACTAAACTAAACAAGCAATGAACGAAACTGCATGATGACTAAATTGATGACACATGTTCCTTATGTCTTACAAAGCCAGAGGTAAAAGTTGCCTTAACCCTAAGGAGTAGGATTAACCCCTAACCCTAAGATTTAGTTACAAGGGTACTAGGCCAAATTATAGCCATTAAATCCAGGCACTTTCCAGTAAGAAGTCCTGAGTGTTGCTGAATTTATTACTCACCATGTAGAACTACCACATGAAACAAAGAATACACTCTTCTGAGGAGGCTTACAGCTACCATCACTGTTCTACAGAACTCCCAACAGCAGTGTTCTTACAGGAGAAAGCAATAGATAACAGCTGTTTGGTAACAAACCAGATCTTTTTATAAAATACCTGCAAAGGGTATGAAAGAAACCATAAAATATTCATTCAAAGCTGATGTTTTTCTTCCCTTGGGAAATACTGAACGATGTGCAGAACAAGTATAATTTACAAGTATAATGCACAATGCAGGATGGTACAATGTGTTTATCTATTGCTGTTTTGTAGCCTGACTTGGTTGACCACAATGGCCTCAATAATAAATCCTGGTTTAAATGAAGCTTCTCGATGGCTTTTAGACATTTATTTCAATCTTTGGAGGGGGGTCCTTTTTCAGTTTCACTACCCATTTTTTCCTGTAAAGATTGATTTGAGGTTGCTTTCAGAGGGTTTTGTTTGTAGGCTGTACAGATTGTAAGGTCCTGAAGGCACATTTCTGATATTGGTAAGATCAACGAAACATCAAGAAGAGATTTCCAACTCCTGCGACCGGATGCTGACCAAACCATCCGGCATCAATACGTTAGAGCTCTCACCATGAGATGGAGGTCTTCCTGGGTGGGTCCCGGTACCTCGAAGCTCTCCCAGGTGTCTGCAGAGCGCCGGTACACCAGTTTCGTCCCGGCTACATTGTACTCGCCCGGAATGCTGATCTTCCAGTTACCGTTGATCACAAACTGGGAGTGACCATTCTGGAGTGCTGGATAAGCGATCAAGGTACGGAAAGGAAGGAAGGAAAAGTTTGATGTTATTCAGAGTTGACTAGTCAGTCAAATATTTCTAAATGCCATAAATTCTTTGTCCATATAAGGGGGTCAAGCTCTCTGTTTGGTGTCAGAAACAGACATATTTCCAGCTGGCTATATAAGGCAGCTGTCTCTCCTCAGCAGTGGGAAAGGGAATTTCCATGGCATGAAATGGAAACAAGTACCTTCACCTGCCTCGCCCCAATGGTCAGATAAAGCCTTTTATGAGCGTCCCCTTTCAGGACCACAGTGTGCGCTGTTTGAGGGCCTGTTTTATTTTGGTCTCATAAACAAGGATGAGAATAGATGTCCTTGGTTATTATGTTGCCTGGAAAACACACAGCGGGTCCAGAGACCAGATAGGACTGCCGAGCCCACTGTCTCTGGGGAGAGGAAGTTATAGCAAGTCTAGGAAATACTTTAACTGCTGGATTAACACTTCAGCCATGGAGCCAGTGACGCAGAGGGAGTCCTATGCAGAGAGCTGAGACTGATATACAGAGCATCCCAGGAGTCATGTGTGTGTGTTTGGTGTGCATGGTCTTACCTAGATAATTCCTGCTGTTATCAGTGACTCGGATGTGAGTAGCTCCAGCTGGGATCATGGTCACTTCGTTGTATCCAAAAGGTCCGCCTGGCAAACGGAGACATTCAATTAGAAGCTTGGTTTAATGAGTCTCGTCTTTTTTTAAACTACTTAACATGATTAAAGGAAAAGTCAGTATTTACAAGCTTAAGACAGTTTTGCAACAAAGTGAAGCCCAGAAAAAAGAAGAATCAGATGGCTCTTTAAGTCATTTGAAGTTATTTTAATCTTAAAAGGAGAACATCAAAAGAAAGTTTCGCATAATCTTTTAAGACTGTCTGTTGCATTATAGAGATAATTCTGAGATCAACAAGTGTCAGTGCAACTTTGAGATCAAACAGAATGAGAAGTTAAATTAATGTCAAAGGGCCCTTCATCATATTAACAACATTCATAACAAACAGTTGAGTTATGTGCATTATGATTACAGTGTGTTATTAAAGACACAATTAACTTGCACTGGGACCAAATCTAATGATATGTTATCCTTCACTGCAATACTCTTGGCCTTTCTTTAAATCACTGTCACTTGCCATACACTAAATAAATGCTACTTTTAATAAATAAATCCCTTGATTGCATAAGACTCCACTGTGAGGTTTGTGAGGTTTTTATATGACTGTAATGACAGTTATTACTGCAATGTAAGGCAAACTTAAAAGCATGTAAATTCATCAAATAAAAAAAAATAAAACCAGGGTTGCGAAATACTGTAATTCCCATTTGCATTTAATTACAGACTGTGTGATTATAGCAATCAACACCACTAACATCGTCTTTGGGAACTTCAGAGTGTTCACAATGTAAACGCATTCATCATAGTGTCATCTGAGGTGGTTGCCATAGTGTTCATGTAAACTCACAAATCAAAATCACAACAACAAAGCAGCAGTGTTGTCCAGTTCATTTAGTTTCTTTCAAAACCTTAAACCAGTGCTGCTTGTTTAGATGCTGCGAACAACTATGCCTTAAATCCTGCTTCAATTCACCAGGATGCACTAACCATGTTTTAACAACAAGTAGATATTTAAAAGCAAGTATGTCAGCGTTTCTAGGTTTCAGATCCAGGCCTGAACAGATAGATTAATTTATATTGTTTGCTCTTTAAAACACTCTTAGACTGAGAATGTAAAGCCATGCGTATAGTAATTTAGGTGTAAATAGGCAGGCCTGTTAATTCAATAGTAATTGCATTCATAATCTATTTATAGTTGTGGATTGATTCCAACCACAGCTGCAGGTCTTTAACATTTGACTGTACCATTACTGTTCAGTGCTGTGTGCTGTCACTTGAAACAGATTGTTGCACGCCTTCACTTTGTACTGAGCACTTTATATTCAGGGTTAGTCTTTGAATAGCATGCTATGCCATTTTTCAGCAATCAGTAACTGGTATGTAATCAGTAACTCACAATAATCTGGATTAGTAATCAGATAATTATATCTTTGAACATATCTTGCCAGACATTGATGTGGCTCGTACAGTATTACAAAGCTCTTGGAAAGTCTTTATCATCTGTCATTATAAAACAATGACAATCTATGATGTCAGCAATGATTAACTGCTATTACTGGTTTATAAGATTTTACAGCACAAAGACAGATAATTTTTGAATGAGCTGAATCCACAGCCCTTCAATATAGAGTGATATTTCACTTCTGAGCCAAAAAAAAAAGAGGCAGGGACAGCTCTATGGTTCTCCTGCTGCTCTGGAGTGTAAGGTGGCCGTGGGGTGAACCCCATTCATTACGGCTTTTGAAGAGCACGTAACTTTGGTTGCCCTGGCTCACCCGTCTCAGAGAGGAACTATTCACAAGGTTCATCTTTGGGGCTTTAGCTACATGAAGATGTAACAGGGAGTGTCAGAAGCTGTAACTGAGGGAGTGTCAGAGTTACAAACAGGCAGCGGGAAGCTCCAGGCCGTCGTTATTTGACCTTGTGAGGAGCGATTTTGTGAAGCCGCCCTCCATCAGAACTACCTCCTTTGGGAAACACAGCTGCAGGAGGAGGGACAACATCTCAAGGCTGTCGAGTCGCCCAAACAAAGCGGCCATTATCAGCATTATTTCTTGCGCAATCTGAGCCATTACGGCCAGCTTTTAGTTCTGCCGACCCACGGAGCTGTGGGAGCTGTGATCCTGAGCCAAGAGCCAAGAGCCAGAGGTGCTGGGAGCTTTCTGTCAATCAGTGGTTGGCGAAACCATAGACCTTATATTTAAGTAGAAGTAGAACAATCCTACAGTGTTAAACTACGGAGCTCCTGTGGCATTTCTTCAATGCCATATTCACGACAATGTCACATCCTTATAAAGAGGCATTTGAATGCGTATGTGCCTTCCTTTGCCTCTACCCTTTGACCCCTAAACAGTACATTTGGGTCAAAATTATGGAACACATGTTTATTTTGTTGCATGTCTTAGTTTGAGTGGTTTTGGTATACACACATTTCTAAGTTGATTTGTTGGTCTGTGTTTTTGGTAACCCTGTTTTCCAAGTTGGCTTTAGTTTACAGATTTATTGCCATAATAGTTCATCTAATTTTAATACTTTAACAAACTCCTCCTCCCCAGATGTTGAACAGAAGAGAGCGACCGCATGTTGCCCTCTGAACTGCAGATACAGTATGAACGTGGGTATAACATGTTTTGGTGGCATCCAGCCAGAGTTCCATTTAGAGCTTGAAGAACTCTGCGTTTTTCCTCAAATCTTAACCACTGTAATTTTGGAGCTACATTTCCTCCTGGAAGGCAAAACTATTTACCATACTTAATCTTCATGTCATCAGATAACAATAACCTCTTGATTAAACCTGAATGACTAATGACCTTTTTTGGAGGGAAAACACAAAGAGGGCTTGGATTTATCCCCAGATCGTGTTGGTTTAAAACTGCTGCAATTGATTCCTCATGGAGATTATACGGTGATTGTGTGTGTGTGTGTGTGTGTGTGTGTGTGTGTGTGTGTGTGTGTGTGTGTGTGTGTGTGTGTGTGTGTGTGTGTGTGTGTTTCCTACCTGCCTCCAGACCGTTGCTCTGGTACACGCTCTTGTGGTGCATGCAGGTGGTGTTTTGTCCTCCACACACCATGCAAGCGTCCTCCTGCTGCTTTGAGCCCAAGATGGAGTCACAGCCGGGCGTCTGTATGACACACACACACACACACACACACACACACACACACACACACACACACACACACACACACACACACACAACATTACAATACTTACATGTATTTCCTGGAGACTTATCACTACACGTACACT